AGGGCCTCCCTAGCCCACAAACAGTATTTACCTAAAACTAACCCCATCTCTCTCATCAACAGCAGCTCATAAATCTTAAAAAAAAAAGTCCTTAGCTCACTAACAATACTCCACAAGTCTTTTCCATTTAGATATCTGGCGTAGGATTTGATATGACATTGTCCCATGCGAGAGACAGAAACCTAGGTCCATGGAGATTTGTTTAAACTGTCATCTGAGGACTGATGTGGTCTCATAACTCACAGAAATATTGAATTTTATGGCTGGATACCTCTCCCCATTTCAGCCATGGCTTCACTTGATTGTAACAATGGGGTTTTGTGTGTGTAACAGTGCCTACCTGTCCTCATCCTACCAAGGGTGACCATGCAGGCCCTCGACAATGATACGCTTCAGTGATTGCCGACATAACTACACGGTTGTGATAAGATCTCAGATTAGGAGAAAATTAGTGTTACCTCATCTCAAAGAAATTCAATCAGCAAGGCATATTCAAACAAAGTGCTTTGAAATATATAATGCATAGCTGACTCTTCAAAATACGTTTAATAATCATTTATTTGACTGACAATATAATCAGAAAAACATCTGTCTAGTAACATCGCCAAGAGACGTTAAATGTCAGGACTCCTCGAAATTGTAAACATGAAACCAGGTTGTCATAGTGCAGTACATATACCATATACTGATATAACAAGCTGTATCAAAACATCAGTAGATAGACAAGGCTGTATCAGAACATCAGTAGATATAGACAAGGCTGTATCAGAACATCAGTAGATATAGACAAGGCTGTGTCAGAACATCAGTAGATATAGACAAGGCTGTGTCAGAACATCAGTAGATATAGACAAGGCTGTGTCAGAACATCAGTAGATATAGACAAGGCTGTATCAGAACATCAGTAGATATAGACAAGGCTGTATCAGAAATTCAGTAGATATAGACAAGGCTGTATCAGAACATCAGCAGATATAGACAAGGCTGTATCAAAACATCAGTAGATATAGACAAGGCTGTATCAAAACATCAGTAGATATAGACAAGGCTGTATCAGAACATCAGTAGATATAGACAAGGCTGTATCAGAACATCAGTAGATATAGACAAGGCTGTATCAAAACATCAGTAGATATAGACAAAGCCGTGTCAGAACATCAGTAGATAGACAAGGCTGTATCAGAAAGTAGATAGACAAGGCTGTATCAGAACATCAGTAGATATAGACAAGGCTGTATCAAAACATCAGTAGATATAGACAAAGCCGTGTCAGAACATCAGTAGATAGACAAGGCTGTATCAGAAAGTAGATAGACAAGGCTGTATCAGAACATCAGTAGATATAGACAAAGCTGTATCAGAACATCAGTAGATATAGACAAGGCTGTATCAGAACATCAGTAGATATAGACAAGGCTGTATCAGAACATCAGTAGATAGACAAAGCTGTATCAGAACATCAGTAGATATAGACAAGGCTGTATCAGAACATCAGTAGATAGACAAAGCTGTATCAGAACATCAGTAGATATAGACAAGGCTGTATCAGAACATCAGTAGATAGACAAAGCTGTATCAGAACATCAGTAGATATAGACAACGCTGTATCAGAACATCAGTAGATATAGACAAGGCTGTATCAGAACATCAGTAGATATAGACAAGGCTGTATCAGAACATCAGTAGATATAGACAAGGCTGTATCAGAACATCAGTAGATATAGACAAGGCTGTATCAGAACATCAGTAGATATAGACAAGGCTGTATCAGAACATCAGTAGATATAGACAAGGCTGTATCAGAACATCAGTAGATATAGACAAGGCTGTATCAGAACATCAGTAGATATAGACAAGGCTGTATCAGAACATCAGTAGATATAGACAAGGCTGTATCAGAACATCAGTAGATATAGACAAGGCTGTATCAGAACATCAGTAGATAGACAAAGCTGTATCAGAACATCAGTAGATATGGACAAGGCTGTATCAGAACATCAGTAGATATAGACAAGGCTGTATCAGAACATCAGTAGATATAGACAAGGCTGTATCAGAACATCAGTAGATAGACAAGGCTGTATCAGAACATCAGTAGATACAGACAAGGCTGTATCAGAACATCAGTAGATATAGACAAGGCTGTATCAGAACATCAGTAGATATAGACAAGGCTGTATCAGAACATCAGTAGATATACACAAGGCTGTATCAGAACATAAATAGATATATCAAATGACAGGTGTGTTAAAACATTGATATTAGATGACAGGTGTGTTAAAACTTTGATATTAGATGACAGGTATATTAAACCTTTAATATTAGATGACAGGTGTGTTAAAACTTTGAAAACAGATTACAGGTGTGTTAAATCTTTGATATTAGATGACAGGTATGTTAAAATTTTGATATTAGATGACAGAAGTATTAAAATTTTGATATTAGATGACAGAAGTGATAAAACTTTGATATGAGATGACAGGTGTGTTAAAACTTTGATATTAGATGACAGAAGTATTAAATTTTTTATATTAGATGACAGAAGTGTTAAAACTTTTGATATTAGATGACAGGTGTGTTAAAACTTTGATATTAGATGACAGGTGTGTTAAAACTTTGATATGAGATTACAGGTGTGTTAAAACTTTGATATCAGATGACAGGTGTGTTAAAACTTTGATATCAGATGACAGGTGTGTTAAAACTTTGATATGAGATTACAGGTGTGTTAAAACTTTGATATTAGATGACAGGTGTGTTAAAACTTTTGATATTAGATGACAGAAGTATTAAATTTTTTATATTAGATGACAGAAGTGTTAAAACTTTTGATATTAGATGACAGGTGTGTTAAAACTTTGATATTAGATGACAGGTGTGTTAAAACTTTGATATGAGATTACAGGTGTGTTAAAACTTTGATATCAGATGACAGGTGTGTTAAAACTTTGATATGAGATTACAGGTGTGTTAAAACTTTGATATTAGATGACAGGTGTGTTAAAACTTTGATATTAGATGACAGGTGTGTTAAAACTTTGATATGAGATGACAATGTGTTAAAACTTTGATATTAGACCACAACAATACAGGTGATTCTATAATATTTCTGACAGGAATGTTTCAATAATGGAATGGACTAGGCAATGAGAGTCTGTGTTTTTGGATTGTTTCATTCATCTTTTATTCAAGATCATTAACATCAAAGGCCACAGCTGACATTCTTTTATTTCTGATCATTGACTCCAAATTATATAATAATAAACAACATTAAAATGTAAAGAGATAAAATCGAGTAACCTTCATAAGGAAATTTTAAATGAACACCAGGTATTTGCCTTAAAATTATGATAGTTCTTAAATACAGACAATTTTTCAAAATTGTATTATGTTTGTGCCTTTTTTTTTAAATGCTGGAGTTTCCTATTCATGACACAACCACATGACAAGGACAACAAATGACTCTACTTCAAAAATATCACCAGGAATATCAAAACGTTTTACCCTTACATACCCACATATACAGACATTCATGAATGACTCTCTACTCTACAAAAAGTAACTGGCATATAAAAACTCTCAACTCTTTGTTTGAAACTACAGTACATTGTTACCAGCTTGTGTACTTTTCTCATTTCCATAACCTGTTTTTCATATCATCACACTATTTTTGACCTTATAGTATGTAGGATTATAGTCCAGCCAAAAAAGTTGGTAGATTCTTACCGTTTCATACACTTAGTATGTCAGCGCTAGTACACTCCATACTAGTCATTTATCTGATGAAGATGGACGTGTAGTCATGGAAACGTCACACTCTAATCTTCTAATGGTTGTGTTATAAGAGCTTCTATTCTATTCTCGTAACAAATATATGAGTATCAGAGTACCATATCAGTATGATCCTAAAGCCCACCAACAGTCACAGACCATGTCAGTATGGTCCTAAAGCCCACCGACAGTCACAGACCATGTCAGTATGGTCCTAAAGCCCACCGACAGTCACAGACCATGTCAGTATGGTCCTAAAGCCCACCGACAGTCACAGACCATGTCAGTATGGTCCTAAAGCCCACCGACAGTCACAGACCGTGTCAGTTTGGTCCTAAAGCCCACCGACAGTCACAGACCGTGTCAGTTTGGTCCTAAAGCCCACCGACAGTCACAGACCGTGTCAGTATGGTCCTAAAGCCCACCGACAGTCACAGACCGTGTCAGTATGGTCCTAAAGCCCACCGACAGTCACAGACCGTGTCAGTATGGTCCTAAAGCCCACCGACAGTCACAGACCGTGTCAGTATGGTCCTAAAGCCCACCGACAGTCACAGACCGTGTCAGTATGGTCCTAAAGCCCACCGACAGTCACAGACCGTGTCAGTATGGTCCTAAAGCCCACCGACAGTCACAGACCGTGTCAGTATGGTCCTAAAGCCCACCGACAGTCACAGACCGTGTCAGTATGGTCCTAAAGCCCACCGACAGTCACAGACCGTGTCAGTATGGTCCTAAAGCCCACCGACAGTCACAGACCGTGTCAGTATGGTCCTAAAGCCCACCGACAGTCACAGACCGTGTCAGTATGGTCCTAAAGCCCACCGACAGTCACAGACCGTGTCAGTATGGTCCTAAAGCCCACCGACAGTCACAGACCATGTCAGTATGGTCCTAAAGCCCACCGACAGTCACAGACCGTGTCAGTTTGGTCCTAAAGCCCACCGACAGTCACAGACCATGTCAGTATGGTCCTAAAGCCCACCGACAGTCACAGACCATGTCAGTATGGTCCTTAAGCCTACCAACAGTCACAGACCATGTCAGTATGGTCCTAAAGCCCACCAACAGTCACAGACAACAGAAAAGGAACCTCTCAGTTGTTTAAACTGATATTGATGTAAAATAAAGTGCAAGTCCATAATAATACAGTCATATCAGTCAAAAGGAGGAACGAGAATATCCTATCGTTCCTCATTGATTCAAACAGAGGCTTTCCAATCAGTGTATAGCAACATAACTTTTAATAATCTGTTGACTACTGAGAGAGATCACCTGACAAGATTATAATGCCCAGAATAAACCAGTAAACAAAACAGAATGAGTGAGTCTCCTCTTAGCCAAGCAACTTCAAATCCAATTTTAGATGACAGAAATTCACTCACTTTCATCAGAATTATCACAGAAATTGTACCAGCACATTTTAGCCTTTCATACTCGTTTAATTTAAATTCTTTTTGATCATGACTTCGATTTCACATTTTCTTCAGTATTCTGTTCTTTTTTAACTGATAAAACTTTACTTGTAATTCCGTGTTTAGAATAAAACAATGTTGTATTTAAATTTTTCATTTCTGCTTCCATTTTTTCAGTTTTAAGATCAAGCTTTTTCACACATAGTTCCAACTCCTCTACTTTGTCCTTCAGAGACTCGATGATTTCTCTCGTCGCATCATTAGCTGTCTCCACTTTCTTGTTCTGTCTATTTATTTCAAAGAAAATAAGGCCAGCAGCAATAAGAATAATTGTTATTTCTCCAGCGAAGTCTCCAGCCAGTTCCACCGCTCGATCCTCACTGACTGGTTGTACAGACTTTACTTCCCCGATACCAAGCAGACGACTCCTTATCTTGACTGTTGATCTGGTGTAAACTACAACAAAAAAAAAAAAAAGATAAAAGAAAAGAGAAAAAAACTTAAGCATGAACAGAGCCAGGGGGAGTTTTGTTTATTTAAAGAAGAACAGGTTAGTTTTGAAACAAAGTGAAGTATTTACACCAAAAGGCATAATTAGCCAAACTCTACTGGTAGGTTTAAAATAAAGATGAGTTGATTGAGAGATGAGAATTGCTGTATGTGTGTTGGGGTAGAGGTGTATTGATGTAAGTGTGTTGGGGTAGAGATGTTTTGATGTAAGTGTGTTGGGGTAGAGGTGTATTGATGTAAGTGTGTTGGGGTAGAGGTGTATTGATGTAAGTGTGTTGGGGTAGAGGTGTATTGATGTAAGTGTGTTGGGGTAGAGATGTATTGATGTAAGTGTGTTGGGGTAGAGGTGTATTGATGTAAGTGTGTTGGGGTAGAGATGTATTGATGTAAGTGTGTTGGGGTAGAGATGTTTTGATGTAAGTGTGTTGGGGTAGAGGTGTATTGATGTAAGTGTGTTGGGGTAGAGATGTTTTGATGTAAGTGTGTTGGGGTAGAGGTGTATTGATGTAAGTGTGTTGGGGTAGAGGTGTATTGATGTAAGTGTGTTGGGGTAGAGGTGTATTGATGTAAGTGTGTTGGGGTAGAGATGTATTGATGTAAGTGTGTTGGGGTAGAGGTGTATTGATGTAAGTGTGTTGGGGTAGAGATGTATTGATGTAAGTGTGTTGGGGTAGAGATGTTTTGATGTAAGTGTGTTGGGGTAGAGGTGTATTGATGTAAGTGTGTTGGGGTAGAGATGTTTTGATGTAAGTGTGTTGGGGTAGAGGTGTATTGATGTAAGTGTGTTGGGGCAGAGGGCTACTGCTGTAAGTGAGTTGGTGCAGAGGGCTACTGCTGTAAGTGAGTTGGGGCAGAGGGCTACTGCTGTAAGTGAGTTGGGGCAGAGGGGTACTGTTGTAAGTGAGTTGGGGCAGAGGGGTGCTGTTGTAAGTGAGTTGGGGCAGAGTGGTATTGCTGTTGGTATGTGTTTTGTAAAGGTGAATTGTTGCCAGTGAGTTATTAGCCATAGGTTTTAATATTTGGTTAATTATCAGTTCAGTTCATTATTTACAAACACATTGATAAGAAGAGAACCTGAAGATAATGAAGAGATAGAATACATTTATAAAATCAGAAAAAACAGCTGTTTATGGTGACAAAGATGCAAAAACCTTAAAAATCAATAAAACCAATACCTGATTGAGTTCTACTGGGGTCAGCGTCATAGGATATCGGGTTACATAATATTGCAATAATTGATAGGAGATGTCTCAGAAGATTTATTCTCACAGGCTTGCACAGCCAGGTCCTGAATCAGTTGAGTCAGTTGTAAATACATATGTTTATACCTATCGACCACACACAGACAACATATATACTTGTACTGTAAATCCTCAGTTATAGATTTGTACTTTACCCCATTCTTCTGAATGTTTTAAAGAGCATGCCTTTCGATTACTGCTTTTCTCTGTAACCAGATGCAGAATCAACCAATGGCATGGTTGAATGGTTTTTATTGGTCTGACTGGGATACAGTATGGGTGAAAATGTTCCAACTGATTGTGAGAACACAGTATCAATGAATGAGATGGATCACTCACTATTGTTTGTCTACCTCTTGTTGCATGATGCTGATCTGATCCAATTAACACAGCAACAAAAAATTAACATACATACATTAATTTGAAATCAGCCCCCTGTACATTGTATACATACAAAAAGGTAAATTAATCAATAGTCGACACAGGAAGATACAGTATAGGTAGGAATCATCCCAGCCATAAACGTCCTCCACACACTGATAGTGTGTTGTGCTGAGAATTTGAGACAAACCGAACAAATCTAAACTTTTCAAGGGACAGTTAACAACACTGATCATGTCAAGTGTGACCACCTTGAGCAACGTATCAAATTTGACTGGATTTACAAATATACTGTCTAACGGGACTGGTGTTATTAGTGAATTGTCAAATGTAACTGGCATTACCAGTGACTTTACTAACCAGACTGGAGATATTAGTGATTTGTCAAATGTAACTGGATTAACAAGTGAATTTTCTAACCTCACCGGAGTAACCAGTGACATGATAGTGGCCTACCACCACAAGAGGTTAATAGGTAAGTTGTGATGTCCAGTGAGGCCAACTGTTACCTGCCTATATTCTGCACATGGATCATTTAAGTCTGTGATCAAATTACTCACAGCCTTGCTTTTATCAAAATGAAATTCCAGAAAAAGTAGGTGATGGGGACTGTGAGACTTGTTATACAATGTAAGTGATGAGGTCTGTGAGACTTGTTATACAATGTTGGTGATGGGGACTGTGAGACTTGTTATACAATGTTGGTGATGGGGTCTGTGAGACTTGTTATACAATATAAGTGATGAGGTCTGTGAGACTTGTTATACAATGTTGGTGATGGGGACTGTGAGACTTGTTATACAATGTTGGTGATGGGGTCTGTGAGACTTGTTATACAATGTAAGTGATGGCGATTGTGAGACTTGTTATACAATGTTGGTGATGGGGTCTGTGAGACTTGTTATACAATGTAAGTGATGGCGATTGTGAGACTTGTTATACAATGTTGGTGATGGGGTCTGTGAGACTTGTTATACAATGTTGGTGATGGGGACTGTGAGACTTGTTATACAATGTTGGTGATGGGGACTGTGAGACTTGTTATACAATGTTGGTGATGGGGTCTGTGAGACTTGTTATACAATGTTGGTGATGGGGTCTGTGAGACTTGTTATACAATGTTGGTGATGAGGTCTGTGAGACTTGTTATACAATGTTGGTGATGGGGTCTGTGAGACTTTTTATACAATGTTGGTGATGAGGTCTGTGAGACTTGTTATACAATGTTGGTGATGGGGACTGTGAGACTTGTTATACAATGTTGGTGATGGGGTCTGTGAGACTTGTTATACAATGTTGGTGATGAGGTCTGTGAGACTTGTTATACAATGTTGGTGATGGGGTCTGTGAGACTTGTTATACAATGTTGGTGATGAGGTCTGTGAGACTTGTTATACAATGTTGGTGATGGGGACTGTGAGACTTGTTATACAATGTTGGTGATGGGGTCTGTGAGACTTGTTATACAATATAAGTGATGAGGTCTGTGAGACTTGTTATACAATGTTGGTGATGGGGACTGTGAGACTTGTTATACAATGTTGGTGATGGGGTCTGTGAGACTTGTTATACAATGTAAGTGATGGCGATTGTGAGACTTGTTATACAATGTTGGTGATGGGGTCTGTGAGACTTGTTATACAATGTAAGTGATGGCGATTGTGAGACTTGTTATACAATGTTGGTGATGAGGTCTGTGAGACTTGTTATACAATGTTGGTGATGGGGACTGTGAGACTTGTTATACAATGTTGGTGATGGGGACTGTGAGACTTGTTATACAATGTTGGTGATGGGGTCTGTGAGACTTGTTATACAATGTTGGTGATGGGGTCTGTGAGACTTGTTATACAATGTTGGTGATGGGGACTGTGAGACTTGATATACAATGTTGGTGATGAGGTCTGTGAGACTTGTTATACAATGTTGGTGATGAGGTCTGTGAGACTTGTTATACAATGTTGGTGATGAGGTCTGTGAGACTTGTTATACAATGTAAGTGATGGGGTCTGTGAGACTTGTTATACAATGTTGGTGATGAGGTCTGTGAGACTTGTTATACAATGTAAGTGATGGGGTCTGTGAGACTTGTTATACAATGTTGGTGATGAGGTGTACAAGAAAAATTTATAAATTTATAGATAAAAATTTCTCTTTTTTTTTTCATTTACTTTGAAGTGTTTTCATATTTCACGTCACTTTGATGGTTGTTTAGAGTTAATAGTATTCCATAAGATATCATTGGCATATTACTGCAAAACGTTAAAAATAATCACACACCTATTACTTTTAGCTGAAAATCGAACATGACTGATGCTTTACAGACCTTTTCTCTTATTGTAATGTCCAATGTAATACAGGACCTCTCGAAATTTTACAAAGTGAAACCAAATACTAAACATTCATACATCTTCAACTTTAATGTCCAATTAGGTGTGTTGTTCCAAAATTTCCAATGCTGTATTTAGGGAATTAGTTCAAGTGAGTTAGAACATGTCATTCTAAAGACTTATTCTTATATTGTACAGTAAAACAAGACCCTCTATAAATTTCATGATTATTATACAGATGACAACGTTACTTTAAAGTAAGAATTTAAAAGTCATCATCAAATTTGACAGTTTTTGAGAAAATTCACATATCTTTATGAGTTATGGAGCAATTTCATAAACCATATAGGAAGAATTGCAACAATAAATCTTCAATGATATGAACAAATAATTGGGAACCCACCAACATTTACATGGGCTTCTTCTTGGGAGGATTTAAGTAAAATAGGTCTAGGTCTTTTGGATAGTAAAAAATATAAGTATGATTATGAAAATATGCAGAAATATGCTGAACACTGAGGCACTGTATTGCAATTTTTTCACACAACTTGTGGAGGAAATTGACATGCATATTACCAGACAATTTCAAAAGTGCAAGTTGAAGGGAAAATTTTCACAGCATATTGTTATGAGAAAATTTCTAGTGCAATTTATGGGAAAAAGTCTTACCATATTCCATTTATTGAAATGCTTGACCAATGAAAACATAAACTCTAATAATCGAATACTTTATAACTTAGATAGTAAATGTTTATTTCAGTAGATCATCATACTCCCTTTAGCATTTCAATGAAAATATAACGTGACAGCTTTTGAAGTCACCTAATCCTTTGAGATGCTGTGCCTCAAAAAGATGTACACAACAGTGACAAAGTTTTAACAGAGGATCGTATATTGGATGTAAATGTGGTAAAAGTGAAAATTATATTAATTTATAATTTGAATTGAACTTCAACATATCATATATCAAAATTAAATATTCAATTTAATAACCCTAAATCATAATCACGGAGTGTTCTATTTTGAATACTTTCAGGTGATAGTAAGGTATTGGAGAACATCAGGGTTATTATGGCCTATATTGAACTATAAATCAAATCTTACTGTTATAAAATACATTTGTTTACTGAATGTAAATAAGGTAGACACATCTAGAGATTCTAATGATGTATATAGAAAAAAAATTGCATGACAACGATAAAAATTCATGAAAATGAAATGCATTTTCTAATCAAATGACTAAACTCCTGCTTCAACTTTGCATAGTTGAATCTCATTACAGTCTTTAATTCTTTTAGTTCAATTGTTAGATGGGAATGTCATCGATGTTATAATTAAATCATTACATATTTTACTTGAAACATAAATCACTTTCACTTCATGTGAACTTTCTTGTACAGAGTCTTTTCCTAATCGTTAACACATATGGAGTGTAAATGCACATTAAATTACCATATTTGGAAATGTAAAATTTATGTTGCTGTTCATGGAGATACAAAGGCACAGTACAAGTATTTAGGTTGTAGTATTTCACTGTCTTACTTATTCACCAGAATGGTCATTCATCTTTCAGTTTATCAGTATAAGAAATCGGGTATTAATAAGTGTAACAGGAGGGAGAGGGGGGGGGGGGGGGGGGTCAACAGTTACCCGGTCCCGATTCACCCTGTATCACCGTCAACCCAGGTTCGATGGGTTCAGCTTGCGTTTTCGAAGGACAAACACTGCTAATCTAAATTTAACAATTTATTTAACAACAAATGTAAATCAAGGACAACAGCATAGGCCTACACAGACACAACAACATCCCAATCTATACTGAAAACATAAACTTACCTACTACCTAACACCTCACTATTCCACCCCGCTATATAGCTTCCTACCCGAATGATGTCTAATTAACCTAACATATCCCCAGACCTACCTCAGAGAAGGTTTTCACCTCTGGAAGTCAACCCAACGCTCTCCAAATTACTAAACACACTACAACTTATACCCTAAAATGACAATACGAGACAGCTAGAACAACACATCACAAGAGACAGAACACCCCAGACACGGACGAAAAATGCAAGGAAAACAAGACAGGAGAACTTGCACGTGATATACATAGACCTCCGACAAAACGGGTAACAGGTGACAGGACAAAACAATGAAGGGGTCACGGGTACACAGGGTACATACACTACAGTAGACATGACACACGGACACCTGTATAAAGCTGACTAAAAAAGCAAGCATTGACAGCTTTACATCACATAAAATTAAACATGACATAGTGTCCCCCGCTACAATAAGCATACCCTACCTCCTTTGATCTGACCTTACAATATATAGAATTGCCTGTTGGTAGTGGTTCATTGGCATGGAATAACATTCCATGAAATTAGATTGTTGTGACCAGACACAAGTTAGTTGACATTCATTTATTATATTTAGCACATGCTGTTATATTCTGGTGCTCCAATAGACTTAGATAGTATTCATCACACAGATAAGTGTCAATTTGTGTTTAGGTTTATCTTATCTTGATGTATTTTAAATCAACAAAACAGTTTGTATAGTGTCATGAGTCAATGTATGAAATGCCCGAGACGGTATGGTGTGATTTATCGGATAAAAAAACAGGTCTGATAATGCCGGTGATGCAGTCCTGGTAAAGTGAAAGTAGAACTCTTTACCAGGGGTCATTCCCAATCAGTACTTACATTGAGCTAAAGGCACAACCACGTTGTGTCTTATCCATGGTGAACTCTTAGCTGTTTCCTTCACTTGTTTGGCGATTCGTTTTCCAATCAGCTCTTTCACAGCAAGGGAAAATAGTTTTATTGCGGGTAAAGGCATGACCGGTTCTTCTCCACGACCTCTCTCATGCAACGTACCGGAAGTGTTGCACTTAATATGTTTTGCGCCTGCGTGCACTGTATACCCGAAAAAACAAAAACTAAAACTTGAAGAAAACAGTACCCTTTTACAGCTTCTTCGAAATTTCAGCCTCAAATTGATTTTTATGATCGTAAAAAATGACAAAGGTAATATTTCGACACGATGTCATTTTCGAACTCATTTGTTATGGTTGTGTATGCAATGTCAGCTAATGAATATTTATGAGCAGGAAAAGTTAATGTTTATCAATGGCTGCCGACTAAGCAGTGCAAGTAAGTGTAGATGTTATGTGGAATACATAGGTGCATACAGCGAAAGGCAAGATGGGTTTAATACGTAAGTAGTTATTCCAATTCAAAAGTATTGAAAATAGTGTATTATATTACTTGCTCACGACTGTTATTATTAAATATATTAGAATATTCTGGTCCGATCATTAAGCGACCGGGTGTACATGTCAAGAAATGTAAACATTGCGTTAGGTCTAAATAAGAATTTCATTTTATGACTAAACATCATAGCATAATGTTCTCATCAGGTTAAGGTAATGGACATTCTTTAAAATTCCTTGATAATGTGTAGAGTTCAACCAAAAACAGGCACTAAGGTACTGTACTGACTGCCATGTTATGGACAAGATATCCAATGCAAAGCACTTAGTTCCATTTCTACTTCACCTGTTAATTCAAGAGAGAAGTGACCCAAAAAGGCAGATGAGTCCAATAGAAAGGCGAATTCCACAGAGAGTTGACCGTTATTATGTCTCACATTATGAAGTGACTTCCAAAGACGGTTGACTTAGTGACTTTTATATACAGGTTAGTCAAACAGATATTGACCCAACTGAGTGGCAACTACAAAAAAGGTGCCTCCGACAAAAGTTTGACTCCAACAGGATTTAGACTCCAACAGATAGGTGACTCAAAGATGTATGACTCCAACAGACAGGTAATTTCAAAAGACAGATGATTCTAATATGAAGATGATTTGATCACATAAACTTGTGACTCGGACAGACAGGTGACTCAACAACACAAAGGTGACTCCAATGCACAGTTGACAGGCATCTGAGGTGACTCAATAACTGACTGATAACCTCCACAGATAGATGACTCCAACAGAGAGCTTGACTCCATCAGAGAACTAGGTGACTGCCACTGATAGTTACTTTCGCAAGTACATTAGGTGACTCCAACAGACAGGCAACTCCATCACACAGGCAACTCCAACAGACTTTTTTGTTTAACAGACAGGTGACTCTAATAGATGGGAAACTCCAACAGACAGTGACACGAACAGACAAGCAATTCCAACAGACAGTCGACTTGAACAGGAAAGTGACTGACTCAAAAAAAATGTAATGAAAAGGAAGAATTAAATCAGTACTGTTTCACATTAACTGCTAAGATCTGTTTTGATGTTGATCTTCTGAGAAAGATAAAATTTTTACACTTACGCTTAATGTAAGTAACACTTAAGTTGTTCAGTCTGTACAATTAAATTTGAAGTACAGTTGAAACTCGTTCTCTCAAAATTGCTTGAGTTGAAATTCTGTTTGAGTCAAAATAATTTTCAAGTCTCAATTTTTTCCTTCTATATTTTTGTAACCTTAGTTTCGACGACTCAAATTTTGTTGAGTTGAAATTTCCCTTGAGTCAAAGCAATTTTTCAGTCCCTTCAATTGTAAAGCAAGGGAAAAGTCACTTGTTGTCTCAAAATGATTTTTTGCCAAAACATCGACAAGTCTGCAGACGAAATCAGTCCATACATACACAAAGTAATGGCTTATGACGGCGATTAATTACCTGTTTAATGATCCAATTAAAGTTTGGTTTCTTAATTAGTGTCACCATTCTGTAGCAGTGACTTACCTGTTAAAAATGGTTGTGTGCATCTTCAAGAATGATAAAATTGAAACCGTCAAACCAGTATGAACATTTTAACGAAATCTGATCCCCACAACTCTGAGAAAAACTAATTGTAAGCTTGTGATTGGGAGCTTTGTTAGATTTAGTGTTTGGACAATAAAGCGCTGAAAGTATTTTTCATGGATAGAGTCTATATCTGTGCCTGATTTGTTAAGTCTAGCACTTGTACAATGTTTTCTTTAACATGTAGCAACTTTCCAGCCCTGCATTTTTTCTGATGTTTATTTATTCGGAATAAAGTCATATTGATATGATCTATAGCTTCATACATCATTTTGTTAGCATATCAAAAGCAAATTTTAATTTTGTTTTATTGTCATTCTGTAGAATATATGACGTGTATGTGCTTGGTCAGTAAGGGTATTGTACACGTGTGCAGGGCGGAACGTCGTGAGCACAAATGCATTTGATTGGAGTTGTTATTCCATGTTTTGTTGTTTGGATGAATAAACAATAAAAGAAGGAAGTCTAATTAAATTCATTTGTTTATTTACTGACATTTGAAAAAACAGATTAAACTACACTGCTTGTGTGCTGTCATAGCCCTACTTTGTACAACCATAATCAACATCAGGAAACTGATATCGTCAACCTTATTTATAAACTTCGTTTGAGTTGAAATTTGGCTTAGTGGAAATATTTTCCAAATTCCCATGAATTTCGAGATAATGAGTTTCAACTGTTTTTAAATTTTCCCTTCATGTCCATTAGTTATTTAGCAGTTACTACATTTCAACTGGTTATTACACTTCAATCTGGGTCCTTGTTACTCAAAATTCTATCCTACATGTATGAATATATATATAAAAACAAAAAACAAAAAAAGCTGTAATTTCTTCTAGGTACATAATTGCTTTGGATCTCTGTACCTGTATTTGTGGAAGTCCAGAATTTGACTATGGTTATAAATAGAGAAGACAAAAAATTGATGTTGTCATTGGACAAGTTTCTGGTGATTCTTTAGAATCAATAGCATCACTCTCCTTCTACAGGCTAGCATGGACACAGAACAGTTAATTAACCTACTTTAGGCGTAGGAGTTGAATTGAGTTAGTATTCTGGCAAGGTTTATTAAGGTTTTCTTGAGAAATTTCTCTAGTGTTTGAAAAGCAACCAATTTAATCATCCATAGTATCCTTACCTAATGGTTATCATGGGTTTAGTACTTCAGACAGCTTACTATGTTGTTGACCAGTGTATCCTATCATCAGCAGGCAATATCAAGGAAACAGTCTTAATACTGAACAATGCTTTCCTCCTGTTCCTGTGTTTACAAACTTAGAAATTAAGGATTTTTAATGATAACCTGGGAGTGACAGGAAAACAATTTCTTTAAATCAGAAAAAAATCGACATTATCTTTACAACTTACACATGAAGATGACAGAAAAATGTAATAAGAGAACTAGACTTTTCATTGTTCTATTGGCAGGAACATGATCATTGATCAGTCATTGTCCTGTTATCAAAATAGCTAATATTTTGGTATCTGATTAGTATCAGTAGCTATATGGTCAGGCAGTGATGTGATCAGTCTTGATAATGACAGTTAGCAAGGTAATAGACAATAAGGTGTGGAGAGCATGATAAATGTCTGAATCTGATGTAACACAGGAAAAAATCTCTGCAAAATGCTGATTGTCTAGCTGATGTACATAACAATCTGTAAACATAAATTTTCTGTAGCTAAATAAGGGTATATGGAAAGTATATGTAAACAGTTTGTAACTGATGTATGGTACAACATAATATCTATTGTCTAAACATGTATATTGTCTGTAAATGATACCCTCTACACAACAATATCTCTAAACATGTATATTGTCTGTAAATGATACCTCCTGTCCAGCAGGTGTAAGTGTTATGTACCTTACTGGGACATCTCCTGTTCAGCAGGTGTAAGTGTTATGTACCTTACTGGGACATCTCCTGTCCAGCAGGTGAAAGTGTTATGTACCTTACTGGGACATCTCCTGTCCAGCAGGTGTAACTGTAATGTACCTTACTGGGACATCTCCTGTCCAGCAGGTGTAACTGTAATGTACCTTACTGAGACATCTCCTGTCCAACAGGTGTAAGTGTTATGTACCTTACTAGGACATCTCCTGTCCAGCAGGTGTAAGTGTTATGTACCTTACTGAGACATCTCCTGTCCAACAGGTGTAAGTGTTATGTACCTTACTAGGACATCTCCTGTCCAGCAGGTGTAAGTGTTATGTACCTTACTGGGACATCTCCTGTCCAGCAGGTATAAGTGGTATGTACCTTACTGGGACATCTCCTGTCCAGCAGGTATAAGTGGTATGTACCTTACTGGGACATCTCCTGTCCAGCAGGTGTAAGTGTTATGTACCTTACTGGGACATCTCCTGTCCAGCAGGTGTAAGTGTTATGTACCTTACTGGGACATTTCCTGTCCAGCAGGTGTAAGTGTTATGTACCTTACTGGGACATCTCCTGTCCAGCAGGTGTAAGTGTTATGTACCTTACTGGGACATTTCCTGTCCAGCAGGTGTAAGTGTTTTGTACCTTACTGGGACATCTCCTGTCCAGCAGGTGTAAGTGTTATGTACCTTACTGGGACATCTCCTATCCAGCAGGTGTTAGTGAAATGTACCTTACTGGGACATCTCCTATCCAGCAGGTGTTAGTGAAATGTACTTAAATGTGACATTTGTCCTACAGGTATAAGTGTTCTTCACTGTTACAGGTATATTGTACAAAGAGTAGACATTTAGAAATGGTGACATTGTGAGATTTTATATGGAACATTCTGTAAAGATTGATGAATGTGAGATTGATAATGCTGTTGATGAATATTGTCATCTGCACAAGGGACACAATCCCTATATATAAATCGCTGGCATCATTACATATCTTGTTGATGTAAATCAATCTGATGTTTATGTGTTAGTATCTTTTGTAGGAGAATGACAAATCATCAATACAGAAACAGTAGATGTAGCTTGAGATATAGCTTTGTGATTTCAATAACAATTTTCTTAATTTGAATTAAATGTGAATGAAAAAAATCC